GTATGCACTAATTTTGTCTAGTTTGGAAAATTATTTCAACCAAAGTATATTAAATAATTACATATATGAATCATACTAAATTATATATGTGCAAACATGATCTTAATTCCAAAGTAGCTGAAAAATCCAACTGAAGAGAGAGAACACACCTTTGACAAACCAATGAGGATGCAGGGTAGCAGGTACCATCTGCCAAAAGGGTGAAGTAAGTAATAAGAGCTACAGGTGGGAAAGATCACCATACATTGCTGCAGTGAAGCCCTTAAGGAGGTAGGAATTGACTAGAGATCTAAAGACAGGTAGGACTGTGCTGTAGCCTTCAAACACAATGTGTGTGGCGTGATCACAGGTGTTTGGTGGAGCAAAGGGGTGAGTAGCGAGTTTGATATCATAAATGACAATGGGCACAACAGTTTGGCTGAAATCAACTATTCCTGCTGTTGGATATGTGGTAGGAGAGACAGATAAGGACCAGATTGTGTAATCTTAAAACCTGTAGTTTCTAATACATATTTTCTTCTTCATTAGCCTGTAAAATTCTTAAGTTAGCAATTTTGTCTTATTTCATTCAAGCAGAGACCTATAATTGTATGTTGACAAAAGATAGAAGGAATGGAGAGAGAGAAGGGGGGAGAGGATGAAGGAGAGAAGAAAGGGACAAAAGGAAGGAGGGAGCAAGAGAGAAGGGGAGGGAGGGAGATGAAGAAAAAAGGAAAGAGAGAATAGTTATACATTTAATCCTATTGGATCCTACTATTATGATATTAATTTTAAAAAGATAATTATTTGGTCTCACAATCAGGATGTCCACTGTCTCCTGATAGATATGTCTACTAGAACAACGTAATATGGCACCTAGAAGAAGAAAGAAAAAGATAAATAGTAATAATAATAATAATAATAATAATATGGCACCTACAACATACCATCTAATTCTTTCTGAGGTAGTTCGCAAAGCCTACACAGAAGACATGATTTCAGTAAGCTCTTAAAGACATATATGATCTTAACAGATAAGAAGGGTAGGCCATTCTAGGTAGAGAATGAGAGCCTATGCAACAGCACAGTGAAAACAAAGATAGTTGATTTGATGAATCATAAGAAGCTTGCTGTGACTGGTATGTGTTTAAAGAACTAGGTTTTGACCAGACTGTAAAATTTGGACTTGATCTTGTTGTGCAGTGTTATGTCATTTAAAGCTCTGTGTGCTCTTGGCAATATCCCCAGAACCCATTCCCTCACCACCTACCCAAGCCTTGTAGCTTCAACAATCTGCCTAAGCAACCAGTAGTACTAATTATTTAATGCTTTGTACCCTTGTTTATATAAGTCTCCAGAGAAAGCAAAACTGAGGTCAAACCTCATTTCTGAACTAACATTTCATACAGCTGAGTATATTCACTAATTTGACCGCATCTCTTATAATTCCTCAAATTTCTACTCGACTAAATTCATAGTCCATAATCAGTAAAATCCCCTGTATGCTCAACTTCTTCTCTCATGTTTCTCTTTATCATCTTTATCTCTAAAATTTGAATTTCCTAAAGCTATCCTTGGATGTCTTCTCTCTGTTCAGTCCCTGGTGATCTCATCTGACCTTATGAATTTAAACACTATTTATAAATTGAGCACTTTCAAATTTAGATTACTTATTGCATCCTCTCCCCTGATGGAGTTCATATATTGTACTACCAACTCAGTATCTCCATTTGGACACCTGAGCTTCTCAAATTTAACATGTCAATGCCTCCCACCCCCAAGTATGCAACACACACCACCACCACCTAACCTAACCACTACCACCAGCAGTCTTCCCAGTAAATCATAAGCTTATTTTTCTGTTACTCAGATTAAAAAACTTATTCTTGACCACTGTCTTTATCTCACACTCCACATCTAGTCTAGTAGCAAATCCTGTTAGTTCTACCACCAAAATTCAGGCAAAATATAGCTATTCTCTCCCTAATACCTTTTTTGGCAAAGACATTATTCATTTACCTCTATTTTTGGAAGAGCCCTAAAAATTTTCTTTTTTTCCTCCCAATCCCATTTGACAGTCCATTTCAAAGCCATCAGAATAATCATGGCACTTATATGCTCAAAATTCTCTAGTCATTTCCCACCTCACTCTCAGTAAATGCCAAAGACTTTTAAATGGTTTAACAGGACTTTCAGGTCTACCCTTCCTGAATCCTGCAATCATACTTTTCTAAATCCATCCCCTACATATCTTTCTCCTTACACTCTCCAACACAGCCACACCAGACCCTCTCCCTCACCAGATATATTTCCACTAAAGGGCATTTGCACTTGCTGTTCCTTCCACCTGACATACCTTTTTCTAAGATATTCCCACGTTTTACACCCTTCTTTCCATAGATCTTTGCTCAAATCTCACTTTATTGGAAAGCCCCTCCATGACTTCCCTATTTTTTCCTCCCAAACTACATGCTGTATTCCTATATGCTCTATTTTGGTTATTGTTTATCTTTTCCACTAGATGGCAAATCACATGAGGGCAGGAAATTTGTCAGTTCATGGCTGTATCTTAGATGTCTGACACACAAGAGGTACTTAATGCATTTGTTGTGGAAATGATGAACAAATGGATAATTAATTCAATAAGAAACTATTGAATATTTTTAAGCAAAGCATTTATTTGATTGTGCATGTATTTTAAAATGATATGTCTAGCAGAGGAATGTGTGGAGAAGATACTGATGCTGCTAAAATAGTTCAGGAAAAAGGTGAAAATGGCCTAGAATAGGGAGAATAGAAAGGACAGACATGAGAAACATCATAAAGGCGACATTGACAGAAAAAAGAAGGGTGAATCAAGTAAGAGGTCAAGCACTGGCCACTGAGAGGGGGGAAAACAGCAATAGAAAATCTAGAGGGGCACATTTAGACATTTATAACAATATAAAAGTTACAATCATTAAAACAAAATTAAGCGCTTAGATGAGCATTTAAGGGCTATATGACAACTCCTATCTTCATAAATTTATAGACCAAAACTTATAATGCCAATCTGAGAAAACTATCAGCAGCACAAGTAATTGTGCCAATACCAAGCCAATAATTAGGTTGTTAACTTTCCTTTTTAAGGTGATGATCTTTTAATTCAATCTTTCTTCTTCATCTGTATGTTCTTCAACCCTCATAGAATACTGGAAATTCTTCACTTTCTGCTTAAATAAAAACCTTCAATTATTTTTAAAACTGGATATTATTTCTACTTTGCATTTTGAAGTGATAGCTATATGGCTGGTCATGATTTTAACATTCCCATAAATTTGCAAAGATTTAGGATTAATGAATGCCAGGGAATATAGATAAATTTTTATTGATTTATGCTGTTTACATTTTCATTACAAGGGGAAAATTCAGGCATATTTTACTCTCATGTCTAATAACATTTAATAAAAATATATTCATCAGTTTGCCCTTTTCAAAAAGCCATTAAACTTGATTTATTGAGTATTGATATTATTGGCATATGCCTACCCTCTGAGTAACCCTTTTTTGATTTTTAGGAAAGATTAGCAGAAGAAATTGAAAAGCTGAGATCTGAACTTGACCAATTGAAAATGAGAACTGGCTCTTTAATTGAACCCACAATATCAAGGTAACATTAAATCAAAAGCTTATCTATAGTTCACTAAAGACCAATATGAATTTCTTTATGTTCCATATCTCCTCAACAAAAATAAATAAGTACCTCCAATTGCTCAATAGTCATTTTGAATCTTTCCTGGTTTACATGTCTACATTCAAAAATAACTTTCTAATTTAGAAATCCTTTTTAAAGATATTCAATAAAACTTTAAATTTTTACCTTTTGTAATGGTTATTTAGTTATCTAGATAGAAATATATGAAAGGAATCTTTAATGAAGAAACTGAACTGTATATAAGAACTGTGTATACATTTCATTCCAAGAGGAGGCATCAGCGCTTTTTGTCACGTGTTCAATACAGAAATTGAACTCTACATGAAATTTTTTCTATATGTGTTTAATGCGGAGCAGATAATATGTCTAACATTAATGTGGCTGAACACGTCTTTTTAATTATGGCCACGTAACATCTACCTATTTTGTTAAAGTAGTTGCAAATAAAGATGGAAGGAGAAATTACACACGTAAAAGAAATTCAAATAAATTTAGCACTACTCATCTACTTTGGCTCACTACCTCATCTTAAAGGAAAGAAGCAATGGGAGGACTGTTTACTCGATATATATATGGATGGATGGATAGGTAGGTAGACAGATAAGCATAGATAGATACATAGAAAGATCTATATGTTAATAATTCACTTACAATTTTCTTTTGTGCATAAGGCCTTTTATTTAATGTTAAGAAACCCAGATGGATTCACTCATTTAATCATATACTTAATAAGCAACATAGAATAATAGCAGCTGTTTGAAATTTTCAACCACCACAGGCTTGTAGACAAATTCCATTTTTCTTTGTCTCATGTTTATCTTAAGAATGTAAAGTCCACTAGGGCAGGAATTTGTGTCTGTTTTGATAGGTACTTAAAAAACTACCTGGCATATAGTTTACTCTCAATAAATATTGTTGAAAGAATGAATGAATATCTGGGAAAACATTTTTTGAATACTCAGGTTAAAATCCAAATAAAAAATATTCTAAAGGATTTTATGCTTTTTTCAATATAAGCCTAAATAAAAACAATATCCAATGTTTTGAGTATTTCTGTTTTCAGTTTAGTATGAGAGATACAGTTCTGAGAAACACCTAAAGGACTTTTAAATATGTAAGTCATTAATTTAGAAAATCATGCTTATTTTTGAAATTCTTAAATTCTTATTCATATATCTGAACTGAAATTATCATTTCAGTAGCATGCATTCACATGGTAATGATGATGATGATAATGATGAAGGAGATGGAGAAGAAGAGCTGATAAAATATCAAAGGAGTAAATAAATTGAATAAGCATTAACTAATCAACAAGTTAAATATAGTCTAATAGCCTTACTAAGATTCTAGTTTTATATACTTTGACATACATATATATAAATAGTATTTTTCTGATTATCTCGCAAACTTGCTTTGCAGATCAAATGAGACAAATGAGCAAAGTGGGTTTTAGAAACAGTAAATTATATCAAAAGTATAAAGTGTTGTAGGAATTTTTAAGATAACNACTAATCAACAAGTTAAATATAGTCTAATAGCCTTACTAAGATTCTAGTTTTATATACTTTTACATACATATATATATAAATAGTATTTTTCTGATTATCTCGCAAACTTGCTTTGCAGATCAAATGAGACAAATGAGCAAAGGGGGTTTTAGAAACAGTAAATTATATCAAAAGTATAAAGTGTTGTAGGAATTTTTAAGATAACTAAACTGATGGAATTTGTAATAAGTTACAGAATAAAAGAATGTTTATTACACAGCAATTATTTCATGAACACGCATGCTTCTAAGAGCACATAACTTAAAAAAAAGAAAGAAAGAAAAAGGAAAACAATAAAGAAAAGAGAAGATGTATGAGAACTCAGTCTACTAGATTTCAATCTAACAGGTAGGGAGGTGAGAAGAGGTGACTGAGGTTCGTGGATATCAGCACGTAATATCCTCTGCCAGGATCTCATCTGAGAAGAAACTAAATGAGTTCCAGACTGGAAAGAGAAGGTTGGACTTGGTTCATCACTGAAGAAAGGTTAGGATCTGGGTAACTGGTAGTTACCTAGGTAACAATAGAGGATGTCCCAGTGAGCAGAGGAATGGATAACAGGTTTTCTCTAAGAAAATTCATACCTCATTTATCTATGGAAGTTCTTAATGAGATTATATCCAAGAATCACAGGAAATTCAGGCAGAGATACTACACAGTTCATTGTTTAAAGGAACCAATGACTGTTTTGTAACTTGACCTTTAAAAACCCCTAACAATATTGTACAGCTAAAATAATTTAAAAATTCAATTAATGTGGAAATATTGCCTCTGTTTTCTCTTACAAAACTAGTTTGGGGCTGGTTGGTTAGCTCAATTTGGTTACAGCTGGGTGTCGAAATACCAAGGACAAGGGTTCACAGATCCCAAATAGGCCAGCTGTCAGACAAACAAACAACAACAAAACCCCAACTAACTCAGAGAACTAAAAAAAGGAGGGATGTGAGCAGTAACTTCTTTGGATGAAGCATAAGCAACAGACACTTCTAAGATTAGTGTTGACTGAATTCCTTTGTTCTCTCAAGATCTATTACACAATTTCTGCTTGCCAGAAATGGTTGCATTGGAGATACAGTGGTGACGAAGAACACGTTTCTGATGGAAAATACGGGAATACTAGTTGGAGGACTGTTATGATAGAGGGAATGCAAGGAGCTAGAATAGTATATGGCAATAGGACTTTAAGCTGAGACCTTAAGAATGTTAATCACGTAAATGTGCTAATTGACTGTTTCCAGCAGAAAGAACAGCATGTTCAAAGGCTCAGAAGCAAAACAAAGTGTGAATTATAGATGGAATTGAAAGCCAGTACAGCTAGATGGAAAGTAAGGCAGAGAACAGTTAAAAGTGAAGCTGGAAAGTAGGAAGAGCCCAGATTGTAGAGAGCCTTGTAAGGACACTGAAGAATTTTATCAGGGCATTGAAGTGACCAGATCTGTGTTTTGTTTTATGTTTTTATAAATGAGTTCAGACATAAAACAACAAGAAAACATTACTCCTAGGAAGATGAATTATAATGTTAGAAACTCCACTTTGATCCCCAAAGGGACATTAATGTAAGCAGCCACAGGCAAAGGGGACCTAGACTGTTCTGAGCTAGATAGTTTGGGACTGTATTACAACCAATTTCATTCATACATTATCTTATCAGATATTTACGAGGTGCTTACTATGTGCCACGTACACCTCCCTGAGCATAGAATGGTGACTAAAATCTCATCTTTGCCTTCATGAAACTTAGAGCTTCTGACAAATAGATAAAGGCTGAGAATTGTGCCATTTATGAATATGACCTGATTTTTATATATAACTTCTCCACAATAAAAGCAATTTACTTAATTAAATCTCAAGTCATTGCTATAAGAACAAGAGCTGTCATCTATTCAGGGGATGATTCCTTAGTTCATTTTCTCTAATGTCCTATTTGGCAAAACAAGTTCTCTGTTAAGATAGGTCAATGTCTTGCACTGTTGCAAACACCCAGACCTCACCTAACCTTTTTAATTTTGCTGAATATTTGGAAATGTTTGCTTTTGCTCACAAAAAGAACTAAGGGAGACAGTACAGATGATCAGCAGTAGACCCAAGTTCAACAGAAAGCACATCTTTAAATAATTTCCTACTGATGATGAATTTGTTATTTCATTTTATAGGACAGCATGATGTTGCTGTTATTATCATCATCATTATTGCAGCAATAAACCAAATTTGCTGTAAATCTATATATAAATAATATGCCTGGAGAAAGCTTTTCTGCACTTTGATTACAGTGTAATTTATTACCATGTTTATTGAAAACCAGTGTGATGATATTTTCCAATTGGAATTTTCCAACTGTTTAGTCTTTAAGCAGATTGCAGAATCAAATATGGTTATCAAAAAATTTTTGTTCATCTTTTTGGAGCAATGTCTTATCGAAAGCCAAAAAAA